CGCTTTCGTTTGTTCATGTTTAAACCACCAGTCAAATACTTATGATGTCACATAGAGGCTCGCTTCCTGTTTGAGCATGGTAGTGTTCACAGTGCCCGACTCCAGAATGTTTGTGTTCACGCTGATCAAACTGAACCGGACTTTGGGATCAAGTATACTCAGATCCAGGCCTGGGTCCCTAATGTGAAACTACCCTTAGATATGATGGACATGCAGACAAATATTAGTTCCTACTACTTCTTGGTTGTATTAGCTACACACATAAAGGATGTGGACTGCTGCTTCCTTTTAGAATAGTCTACTGGTGTCTATACAAAGGTCTGAGTTTGAGTTGGTTACTGTGACAATTCAGTCAGGGATAAATAAAAAGAGGAACATTTGTGGTCATTCTTTAAATGATGATGTTCATCAGCAGAAACAGTTGAGTTACAAGCAACTTCAATCCACAGCTTTGTGAAACTGTGTCGGCCTACCCACAGCAGTCATCTCTGTAGTGCTGGAACCTGGGGACAGTGTTTCCAAGAGAACAGCATGTACAGAGCGAGTCGTTGTAGTCATCATGTGCTGCTCACCTCTGGGTTTGTTTGTGTGTGTGTGTTGCTCTGGTGCCCTGTTCCTGTGCAGATAGAAACTGTGTGATAACAGAGTGATTATTATCTGTGAGCAGGAGCCTGGCAGCTCAAACTGTGTTGTCTCTGCTGCCTCGTCCTCGCTAACATCTCCCTGTCTCCACGCTGCTGCAGACGATGACACATTCTGTTGTTTGACTTCATGTTTTTTTTATTTTCATTTTCAGCATTATGTGCTGATAATGATATGTCTTTGATAAGATAAAATCAGCCCATAATATTTTCCTTGCTCGTGTATCATGCTCGGTGGTTCTAGTCTGGATCGTCATATAACCTGGTATTCCGAAGCCTCCCTGCTTTCTCTATTCTGCCTGCACTGATCTGTGCTCAATTAGATCAAAAGAGCTGGCTCACTTTGTAAGAAACATTCTGCATCCTTGGTCAGGGGAATCGAATGTAATATATGGGCTCTGATTATTTTTCCTTTGTCAAGAAGGGAGTGATCTGGAGCTTTCGTGGTCTGGCTCATCGGACTGTTTTGATTACAGTGACTTCTTCATCGATTTACACCTGCACTGACTGAATTCAGAGGTGTAAACAGGACACAAGAGAATTTCACAATGAGAAACTTTGTTGTTAGGTTTCCTGACTCCAGATTTTTGTGTGCATTAGAGTTCAGGCTAACACCCAGTTCCTCCTTCAAGCACAAACACAACCAGACGTCCTGTGCATCATGTGCTGACTTCGGTATTTTGCAACAGACACTCATTGTCTGGTTCTGTCTGTCTCTCTGTCGTTCTCACCACAGTGCACTCCATGATAAGCCATGCTAACTTCCTGAGTATGTGTCATGTACACACACACAGACGCAGACAGGTCTAGCTCCAGACCTGATTAGTGTATGTGGTGAGTCTTTGTTTGAGGACAAAGGATTTCCCCGTCTGAGACGAGCAGGCGGTGGCAAAGAAACAAGGAGGAGGACAAGATTAGCTGCTGAATGAGATGAGAGGGTGGGGTCGGAGGTGTGGGGTGGGGGCAGATGGGAAAGGATTAAGGCAGGAAGAATGAAACTGCTCCAACCTTGAGCCCGACACTACTTATTTTTAGTGAACAGGTCTCGTGTAATAGCAGAGAGAACACGCAAGAACCTAATCACTGAGGCCACATTAGCAGACTGGACACTGTTGACCAGCAGGTGTTAACCAGAGGTGATGGAGAAGTATCGGCGACCTTTAAGTCATCTGTTGATTGCAGCTCATTCTATTCACTCATCTTCAGTGTTTAAGTCAGACAGTACTGAAATGTGGAGCAAATGTAAATCTAAGGACGGTGATGCACCAAGCCGACTGCCGGTCGTCAGCCACCATCGGGCCGTCTTTGAGCGCCCGTTGTGTCCCACACTTTTGGTACTAGTTGGACCCTCTCGTCCCCATCTCTCAATGTAGCTAATGACACAGGTGTTGCAGGTCACCCATATTTATGCATATATTTTACCAGAGTTCACCTGTTGTTTTGGAGTGTCAGTGCAGATGACAACTTTCTGAAAACACCTCTATCAGGCTGATCAGAGCAGGTCTGCAGATGTCTCAGCAAAGTAGTGACAAGAAGCATTTCCACAAGTTCTGTTCAAATCACATATTTAACATGTACAGAGTCTGTAGAGTGGCAGGGACGTTCTTCAAATCAAAACAGAAAAGAGAGAAGAGAAGGGGAAGAGAGGGCCAGTGGTAGAAAATGAGAGGCAGAAGCTGAAGTAGCAGAGGAAGAGAAGGGGGTGAATTCATTTAGAGGTGAATAGAAACAGGCTTCTCTCGGGGGGGTCATTGCCACCGGGCACAAGGGCCAATGTAAACTCTGAGGCTGCTCCACACTTCATGCACTAACACAATGCAGAGAGATTTCAGAGATGCAGCACACATGCAAGTAGTGAGTAGCTGCTGGGTGTGAGTCTGAAAGTGGGAGTCGTCTGCTTGCACTGCCTCCATGAATCCAAATATTGCTTTTCATGATACATTTACAGGCTTTAAGTCCCTTTTACTGAATTTTGTAGCGCCTTATTTATTTCATTCTGTTTTCTGGCTTGAAAATAAATCTAAAATGAATCTGTAAGGAAAACGTTCCATAGTGAGCAACAAATCAGTTTGTGACGATGAAAAAAAGTGTCCTCACACTGGCAAATTAGTGTTAAGACACTGTGCATCTCTACGTGACCACTTTATTGTTGTTTAGTCTGCTTTTATTTCATTATTGACTATTGTTTCATATTTCTATTGTTTTGTTTTTACTGTATTGAAATTGACACGGTGGTTAGCGCTACCGCCTCACAGCAAGAAGGTTCTGAGTTCAATCCCTGGCTGACCCAAGGCCTTTCTGTGTGGAGTCTGCATGTTCTGCAGCCTGCATGGGTTCTCTCTGGCTTCCTCCCACAGTCCAAACACATGCAGCTTAGGTTGACTGGTGACTCTAAATTGCCCATGAGTGGTTGTTTTTCTCTAAGTGTCAGCCTTGTGATATACTAGCGACCTGTTCAGGGTGGACCCCGCCTCTCATCCACTGTCAGATGGGATTGGCTCCAACCCCCCGTGACCCTGTTCAGGAATAAGCGGTGTAGATGATGAATGGATTATTATTATTATTATTGCATTCTGATCTGGATGAGTAACTGAGTGAGATCAGGATTGGGCTGATTATTTCAGATGAATGTTTGGTATAAATCTCATCAACAGTTGGACAGAAACGTTAATATGTCACATTGTCTTCTAAGTGGTTGCATGTTGTTTACAGGAAGATTAGACTTTTTCACTGTTTGGCTGCAGACCAAACAGCCTAGTGCGCAAACTGTACTGGGCTCCTGAAGGGACTATATCTTAACTCTTTTAGACAGGAAATAAAGATACAGTATCTGCAATCCACAAATCAAGTGCATTGCTTTTACAACTGTAGTTCCAACATACTCATCCACTCACTCAGTGCTCCTACAAGGATGTGAACGTAAAACCATAGTAATGCAGTACTTTGATGTACTTTGTTATTCTAAAAGAAAATATTTATTACATTTACATCTGCCTTTCAAACACTGTACTAAATTACTTTTATTTACTCAAATACTTAAATTTTAAACAGTTTCTTGTCTTCCATATTTCAGGGTTAAATAGTGACTTTGCACCCACTTCTTTTTTGCTTAGGAAATAAATGAGTCTAACAAACTCAGTAAAACATGTATGAATTGTTCAACCTGACAGTGTTTTGCTGTGGCTTATCCTGTATCTGTAACTTTCATGTGAGGATCACTGCAGTTTCATCTGAGGTGTGGAGTCTTCCTTCCAGTGTGACCCTAATTAGACCTCAAAAGATATTAAATCAAGTTAAAAACCTCTGTGTGTTTTTACAGTGGACTGCCAGACGCAAATAGCGCTAAACCTGCAAATGCATTTAGTTTGGGGGGTGGGGGTGGGGGGGTAATTAACGGGCTGATGGGAAGCGATCAGCGCCCCTGATGACCCTGGAACTCCTCATCTGTCCGCGTAAAAAGGGCGTGAAGGGCGTGGAGATGCCAGACATCCGGCTGATTGGTGTGAAGTAATCCGACCAGGGCGAACATGTTTATGTGTATATACTTACGAAAAAGAACAGTAGACATCCTGGAATATCACGCAGTAATAACCTGCTTTCAGAAATTAACATAGGCTTACAGAGGCAGGAATATCAGAGTGATTCTGGTTGGTCTAGTGAGTCCAGATAGTGTGAGCGAGTCCGAGAGAGATGGTGACATACTGATGCTCCACCACCCACACAAAGAACCTCTCCAGTCCAGCGAAGGCTCTGTAGACAGAAATAGCTCCAGTGCTGCTGTGTTCACAGTGTAAGAGTGGTATTAAATCTGTTGTTTATTTCAGCTGCTTTTTATTAAAAAGAAACACCTGACAGTCTGGGCTGTGCAGAACACAAGAGAAACACGGAATTGAAGCTGCACTTTGTGGTAATATTCCTATATAATGCATTTTATTATAGGCTCAGGGGGTATGATATTGTGCGCAGTGACGCATGGAAATGCGCTTTTAAGTGCATACGGTCTGGTCTTAACATTAATATTCTGCAAGTCAGACAAATTAAATATTGTAAGGCGCATTATATAGACCTGTATTATTATGGCCTAATACCCAACAGTCTTGTTTGACACCCGTCCCTCTCTCCCTCCCGCCCTCTCTTCCTTCCGTCTCCCTGTCGTTCTTCTGTTTGTTTGCACTCACTTGATCCGGAGCGGAAATTCCTCTCCGTTTTTGTGAATGACAAACTCATTAACAATTCATCAACACGGGTTGCTCCATCCGGCCCCCGTTGTCATGGCGACCGCCGCTGGGGCTGTTCTGATTGGCCGCCTGGCATAATGTATCCAATGAAACGCCTCCTGTTTGTAGCCATTCAGCAGTCTGGCACAGCAGAGAGCGCTTCGAGACGGAGCCTGTAGAGCGTCGATTCACACCGCAGATAGCGGGGAAACAAGCGGCCTTCTCCGGCAGAAATAGAGGGACATAACCCGCATGGTTCACATCCACAGAACCCGTCACTACCCCGACTTTGATCTCCAAAGAGGAAACTAGAAGTGGAAGAGCCGATGCGCTTGGATCCGTGGAGTTATATAAGGAAAAGGAAGCGTCAGCCTCGTCGCAGGGCCAGTGTGACTCATTGATAAATATTACGGGCTCTCTCCGACCAGATACATGAATGAGCGCCAGTGTATGCAGCCTGCAGTCGGAAAATCTGTGAAGGGGACCTGAATGCTTATCGGTCCGTGTCGTCTCAGAGCGCACGGGACACTGAAGGAGATTTGGAGTGAGAAGTTGTTTGTTTGGTTTAGCATTTCGACTTTTCTCTTTTAGTGTTTTTACATCGTTGCTTGTGCGGCCGAGGTGCAGCGGAGCGGACTGAAATCCCAAAACAGGTTTTTGCTTGCTTGCCTCCTTGTCGCTGCAGCCAAGGAAGCGTCCCCCTTTTCCCAGACACATTTTTACTCCTGCTTATAAATGCTTGACAAGCTCAAGCCCGTCGCCCAGTTCGACTCGGTAATGGCGATCAGCAAGACGGTGGGCTGGCTCCGGGAGCTGCTGGAGACGCGCAGGGACGGCCTGCTTGTGATGGACTGCCGGGCCCAGGAGCTCTACGAGTCGTCACACGTCGAGACAGCCATCAACGTGGCCATACCGAGCCTCATGCTCCGCCGGCTCAAGAAGGGCAACCTGCCCGTGCGCTCTTTGCTCTCCAACGGAGAGGACCGGGAGAGGTTTGCGCGGAGGTGCAAGACCGACACCATCGTGCTGTATGACGAGTACAGCCGCGAGTGGAACGAGAATGTGGACGGGGGCTCCGTGTTGGGTTTACTGCTGAGGAGGATGAAGGATGAAGGCTACAAGGCCTATTATCTGGAGGGTGAGTACGGTTCATTCACAGTTTAGGCCCCCCAGCCGCCGCTGTTCATTCACACCCACATATATGGTGCTTTAATGTTAACTCTTATCTGGTTTCATTTGTGCTAAACCAGTTGTTACAGGTTAACACAGTACAGAGAAACGAATGAGTTTTTACTTCGTTATTATGAAAAACATAATCATGTCAAACTGCTGTCGAAGCGGAATAGCTTTATTTGCAGGAAAGAAAACCTTAATGTGCAGCTAAATGTGTCTGAGTTACACGATCAGCTGAATATTTTTGCTCACATAGTCGCTTTGTATTCAGTAAATGTATGTTTAATTTTCCAGGTGGCTTCAGTAAATTCCAGGCCGAGTATCCAGCGCTGTGTGAGACCAACCTGGATGGCTCCTCCAGCAGCAGCTCCCCCACCGCCCAGGTGCTGGGTCTCGGCGGGCTGCGGATCAGCTCCGACTCTTCAGACATCGAGTCGGACATAGATCGGGACCCAAGCAGCGCAACAGACTCCGACGGCAGTCCGCTGTCCAACCCACAGCCCTCCTTCCCGGTGGAGATCCTGCCCCATCTCTACTTGGGCTGCGCCAAGGACTCCACCAACCTGGACGTGCTGGAGGAGTACGGCATCAAGTACATCCTCAATGTGACTCCCAACCTGCCCAACCTATTTGAGAATGCAGGGGAGTTTAAGTACAAGCAGATCCCCATCTCAGATCATTGGAGCCAGAATCTCTCCCAGTTCTTCCCTGAAGCCATCGGCTTCATCGGTAAGTAATCCTGCTCAGCTGAATACACAGGCAGCTTGCTGCAAACCATTGCACCCAGGCCTCTGGCTCTTTGGTGTAGTCCTAATCTCGTTTACCTCATCAGTGATTAAACTTCAAATTGTTTTTTTTTTTTTTTGTAGTTTATCTAAAAATGTCAAGACATTGTGAAACTACTCAAGGTGAATCCTTCAAATGACTCGTTTTGTCTGAGCAACAGCCCAAAACCTGAGTATGTCAGAATACACTTAATAAAAAGAAAAGCAGGAACCAGCTAATCTTATTAATTTGATATGTGCTATCACTGGCAGGAAGTTCTTAGGTTGTTATTGGGTAGTTGAGATTAGATGAGGTGTCCCTGGCTGTGGTCTTATCAGTCAATCAGGTTGGGACACAGAGTGGGCAGATTAAGGCCATTGTGTTTAGGCAGAGGAATACAAGTCTGCCTCTAATGGTGCACAGGCTAACATGCACTGTGTACAAATGATCTAACTTCAATGGAAAACATCCTGGCCTATCTCTTGTCCTGGGGCTTGTGTAATTGCAGCACAAAGGGCGATGTTGAAACAGGAGAATGGGGAGAGTGAATGAGGGGAGGGTGGTAATTCGAGCGCAACAGGAAGGAAGTGGCATTGAAAGTAATCTAGGACATGGCACTGCCCCCCCACTCCCTCCACATTACAAAAGGAGCCATTTACAAGCCCTGTTGACATCCTGTTCGCCTTGACAGTGTGCCCTCATGACTCCTACGTTTACACGCCCAAATGGCACCATTGTCAGAGGAACCCTAGCGAGCGGAAGAATGGTTTAATAGACTGTAATAGTCAATTTCCCAGCCGGCTTCTCTAGGTCAGAAACAGAAGTATGTTGGCTCTGTTTATGTGCACCACCGCTGCAGCCCGTTTGTTGACTGACTGTAGTCGGGATAATAACGTCTGCTGCTCTCCCTCCCTACACCGACTCCAACTTCAGCACAGCTTGATTTAAATGTCACAGATGTTTATCACAAATGTTGTTCAGTCTGTGTAGAAAGGGGCTGCACTTTCCATCACTGTGTCATGTGAGGACCAGCCTGTCAAAGTGTAAATAATGCTTCTTAATCACTTCAGGGGATATAATGTTTGTTTGTTTGTTTTTTAATATTGGTTCATTGATGAAAAGTCCTGGTTTTTCTGCTTTGTTATAGAACAAATGATTCAACCAATGAGGCTGAGCTACAGCTTTTATACGGATGTTTTTTAAACCGTGTGTTGCTTTAAATCACTTGTGCACTTCTGGGTGAAATCTATAACATTTCCACCCTCTTCTGTTTCTACCAGATGAAGCTCGAGGCCAGAAGTGTGGCGTCCTGGTCCACTGCTTGGCTGGCATCAGCCGCTCAGTGACTGTGACCGTGGCCTACCTAATGCAGAAGCTCAACCTGTCCATGAATGATGCGTACGATATTGTGAAGATGAAAAAGTCCAACATCTCACCCAATTTCAACTTCATGGGCCAGCTCCTGGACTTTGAGCGCACACTGGGCCTGAAAAGCCCATGCGACAATCGCATGGCAGCACCTAGCCAGCAGCTCTACTTCACCACCCCAACCAATCACAACGTCTTCCAGCTGGACGCCCTAGAGTCCACGTGAGGTCCACTGTCACCACCCCTCTCCTTGCTGGAGGTATCATGAGCCTCCTGTTGGAAAAATTACAAAAAGTTTCTCCTTTTCCTGTCGTCTGCTACGCAACTGGGCTTTTGATGTTATTGATACAGCTGGTTTGAGGTGACAGCTGCTGAGCGTAGTTACTGGAGGCCCAAAGCTGTCTGGCCAAGCCGCAGCTGTTGTTGACTAAATGAAGAGCGACAGCAAAAGAGACAGGAAAAAGGAAGAGAGGCATTTAAAGAGAGCAGATCATTTCTGCCATCTCGTATGGCTGTTGGACTCCTGAGGTCTTTTATCTTTTTGTCATTGTCTGAGGAAACTTAAGTGATGTGCCGGAAAGCTGTACGTTATGCTTCAAAGTTCCCAGGCTGGTTTGCCAAAGAGACATGATTGTTCAGACTGGACACATGTAAAATCTTTTATGTTTAGTTTGGGGTCTAGCACTGGTTCCTCCACGACCTCAGGGTGCGTTGTCTCCTTCGTCTTCTGTGAAGACTTGCCTGTGTGGGCTGAAGCACCCAGCTTTAGATGGCACACTATCTACTGGACTCGATTTTACATTTGTGAAATCAAACATTTATACATGTGTATATATCTTTATGAAAGACAATACAGTAAAAGCCTTGCTCTAGTATATACCCTTTGCAACAAGTGGGTACTGAAGATATTTGTTTCATAATCTACATTTATGTAAGCAAACAAGCTGCATATTGATCAGTATGTTAAAGTTGATTATGCCAAAAATCAAGTAGGCTTTCCAAGAGTTGTGCAAAAATGTGTACATGTGTAATATATTTGATAATCACTTCTTGTGTGAGTTCAGCCGGCAGGCTTTGTTTTTGCACACACCCTTTCATGAATCAGTCGTCTTGGTTGTTTGCCTTACTCAGAAGGTTTTTGTTAACCTTCAGAGAAAGACACCCGGTTATTCTCAACTCTGCTGCCTCTTAGAGGTTTTAGCCACACAAAATTTCACATTTTAAGCAGTTTTCATAGCAGTTTTACAGCATAAGCACTCAGAATGGCCAGCTGTGGCGTGTGGATCTCTGAAGGTTAATGAAAGTAATTGTGATCTGTGCACAAGGGTTAAAAGTCTCTGACATGTGGACAAACAGAAGACATTGCTCGCCTTGCTTTTTCAGGGATAACTCTGTGAAATGCAATTCTTATTTGTCAAGATGAGAGAAGAAGAATCCTGAGCTTCAGAGGGTCTCATTGCCCCCTGCAGAGAGAAGGCCTCTTTCCAGAGGAAGCCATCTTGGTGACCTCTGCCACCCCTCACACACACTCCTCTCTTATGAATATAAAGAAAAGATAAGTTATTAATAAATTACTATTTTGTCTACACTTGCTGCTTTTCATGCTGGTTTTTTTATTAACTAGATTGTTGGTGTCTTGTCAGCATCCACAGTAACATGTTTGTGTGTCTCCTCACCCGCCACGCAGTTCAGTGTGAACCAGCAGGCCAAGTCACGACAACAAAAACAACCGCCATGAATCAGGAGGCTGTTCACAAAGCTCTTGCTATTCATTAACTACAGCTCTCGACACATCTCCCACTTTGCTTTCCAGTTCAGAACTACCATGTCCTGTCACATAATGCTTGTGTAACAAAATGTCGTGCACACTCTGTTCTCTGCAGCAATCATTCATGAACTGCAAAATGCTACTCAGCTGGTACAAAGAGATTCCAGTCACGCTGTAAACAGCCCAACTGGTTTTTCCAGGTGCTGCTACATGTCAAGGTCTTTGGGTTCACACAAACACTCCGAGTGTTTCCTGAAAGCGAGGCCTCTGCATGCATCCATCAAAGGGAGCGCAGAGTATTTAGATGTGGTGTTATTTGATGTGCAGCAGTGTGTACCTGTTCAGACTTGGGAGAAGATTCTCACAGGGAGGAGGAGGGTTGTGTTCTCGCGTGCAGCAACTCCTCAGCTCGGCAAAGATGCACCTGCTGTGCACCAACATTCCCACACACATAGGGAAACAAAAGCAGAGTGTGTGTTTGTGTATGTGAGGCTTAAGAATGTTCATTCTCTGGAGCGTGAGGAAAGGGACAAGAAAACTAGTGACTTCTGTACGTTACAGTTAGCAGACACATGGTGTTGGGATTCACAGGCAGCTCTTTCTGTCTGCTAAGCCCTTGGCATGTGCTTGTCCTCAAATGGAAGTTTAGTTTGTGTGAGAGTCAACACAAACAGAAGATTTATTGTGACAGGCTGCCAAGAGTTACTTCAGTTGTAAAGGTGGAGGCAACATGGAACAGCTTAAGAGTTATAAATATATCATATATAATCATAAATCTGGAAAGGAAATGACATGTAGATGCTGAGGCCTTGTACAAAAGCATCTCATAAAAGTCAAAGAAAATAACTATCAATAATATGAAATGGATAAGCAATTACTGAACAAACTAAGTGGAAAAAGTCTGTGACATGTCTTTTATATAGAGTGGAAACACAACCTGGCAAGCGAGTGAATCATTGGCCAGTGGAACAAAGGGCTAAACCTGTACACTCATGTCCTGACGTAAATGATTTATAAAAAAGACTCTTACGTTTCGGTAGCGCTCTCCCCTTTGCCCGCTTTCCAGCTCAGGTGAAATTCTCCCATTTCCTGGGTAATCATTTCATAACATGACTGCTACAATCCGCCTGCAACAGCAAAGCACACAGCATGTTCTAACTCACTCAGTTAATGTTTTGACAGATCTTTAGGGTCTTATTATGCTACATTACCCACAAGAGTTTGTGTGACCAAAGGCAAACCAAGAGGAAACAGACAGTTGTAGAAACCCCTATTGTAGAACTGTGGTTTGTGCTATACACAGTGATATTTATTGTAGTCATTTGTACCAAGTAGTACTGCTGGTGAATACTCTCTCTATGAGATTAGACTCACACAGGATTAATCCAGACATGAGTGATGACATTCCTACCTGCCACTAGGAAACTGTAGAAGGAAATAAGCTGTTTTAATGCCACTTGTGCCTGATATTAGAATTTTCTAAATGGCTGTTTCCCAGTTGAGTAGCAGCAGCTTAGAATGTTAACAGTTATGTTTAAATTCACACTAGTATTCAAAGTTAGTTTCACTGAACATTTTCAATAGCACTGCAAAATGCACTTCCTCCAGTAGCCAGTTGATGCATTTGCTGATCAAAATTGGAACAACCTGAGGCCTCTACACACCCTTATCTACTAAGACTGAATATTCAGTGTTCTTGTGAGCAAATGTTTCAAGAGGTAAAAACACAAGTGTTCACACAGCAGTGGTATCCTGTGAATTTTAATGCCTTGCTCAAGGACTCAGTGACAGACACGAACTCGGCGGCTGCTGCAGGGGATCAGACCTTTTAACCTGTGGATGAAGGGAAAGCTCTTCAGTCATGCATCTGGATGTCATCCATCAAACCTGAAGCCACCCATAGCAGAGCCTGGGAAGCTCTTATTCTTAGAATGGGTCAACGTGATGTCATGGCAGGACTATGATTGACAGGTAGGGCCCGGGGTATGTGTGACATGCTGAGCACCCTGGGGGCTCTCATGGCCATTCTTCCTGCCTGTGGCTGGTGTTTCATAGCTTTAAAGCCAAGGATTAAAGGGCACAGGAAACTACAAGCGCTAATTTTAGACAGGCATGTAGATGGGTTTGGCAGACCCCATCAGCACCTTCATTACCACAGCACGGCAGCTGTGACAGGGCAGGCCATACAGGGATTTGGAACCATATTTGGCTGGGTCATGGGGGTGGGGGTGCATGTGAACATGTGGTCAGGTGATCAATAGGTGCTAAATTTAACTTACAGTAGTGGGGAGAGTGAGCAGGCCTTCAAACTAGAGGGGAGCTTTGACACCTGCCTTGTTTAGTCCAGTTGAATCGAACTGTGGTTCATTTGCCCCCTCGGTGCTGTTCGTTTGGGCAGGTGTGAACACAGCAAGTGCCCTCAGGTGTGACCAGAACATGGCACCAAACAAACTGGAGCATTTCGTTTGTGGTGTGAATGTGATCCGACCTCAATCTGGACCAACTACAAGGAGTGCAATACAGGTTGCACTATGCTGTTCAGCATGTCGTTGTATGTGCTCAGTACTTATTCCCTTTTTCTGCTCAGTCGACTGCAGGCTGCATGTCTCCCTTGTAAAGTATTTTCAATACATTTTCTCAAAGTATATTCAGCATCTGCTGGCATAGCTTTATTTGGTTTGTTGCCCAAATAATCACAACAGTTATGAGCAAATTCTGATTATGATGTTTCTCCATGATGCAGAGCAAATTTATTTCATAGGACCGGTAAAGAACATGAATCTTCTTCCTGTGTTTACATTGTCTTTCCTGCCCCAAACCCCTTAACCAATAATCTAAGGGAATGTTCTGATGTGATTTGTAGTGAAGCATTCTGGTTCACTTGGATTTTTATGTGTGAGAAAGGAAACTGAACCAAAGGGGAAAAGGACCAAGTTTAGAAACTGGTCCACTGATTTGGATGGGTGCAAACAAATTACAGGTGTGAAAATGCCCTAAAAATCACATTTCTGCACTGGTTTGAGTGCTCTGCTGCAGATATAGGTGATATGATTCATGTGCAGTTTTAAGCCTCATTAGATGCCAAAAGTGTTTATAAAGATACAGGATTTACAATTGCATAATGCCATTCTTCTTGATTACAGCAAGTAAAAACAACAGAGCCGCATCATTCAGGTCACAATCTAATCTACCAAGAAAGGGCACTTTCATATATTTTACTGGCTATCCCATCTCGTTGTCCCAGATTTTCCTTTTCTGATGCTTCTTTCTATTTGTCTCTTAAAATGAACACCGAGGCTGTTTTTTGCTTAAGAACATTGAAAGAGGGAAGAGAGGAGCTGTGAGTGAACACAAAGAGAAGTAAGAAACAGAAATGGCTCTTGGATTTTTTTATTCAGAGAACAGAACTGGAACAGTATTAACTTTCTGAGCAGCTCGACTTGTGCATTGTGCTGCGTCATCTCAGGAAATTCAGCTTTCATTTTTATTGTCAGCAGTAGGAGTTTAGGCAACACCAATGGAACTTTTCCTCCTACGCATGTTTTTTTGGAGGAGAGTAAAATAAAATGGCCAATTACAAGTGAGATGTTGATATCACCATGTTGAAAACTTGAATAATAACAGCCCAACTGCTACTTTGGCTGGAGAATGAGATTGTTCAGTTTTTGTAGCAGCAATGGCTCACGACTCCAGGTGCTTGCTAAGAACATCGTCCTCCGTTTGGAGCATCTAAGTTGCCAGAGCGTGGGGAGTTTTTGTTTTAAAACAGAGCAAAAGGCTAAAAAGTAACTTTTCAAAGTCTCAAGTCAGCACCTGGACAAGGAACTGTTGAGCTGCTGGCACCAATCAAAGGTCCAGTCAAAGAACCTGTGCCGATTTCTCCTAGCATGTTGTAAAGTAACATCCAGAAGTATTGAAAATGCCACATCCAGCTGATGATTGAATATAGACGTGATATCCGGCTGTGGGCTCAAGTGGAGCGCCGCTGCCCGAGTTCCCACCGGTGCTTTGGCCATAGAACTAAAGGCACGAGGTTGCGGGGCTAAACTTGGCACGCCTGCTAATCCTCTGCTAATGAATCCTGTCCCTCTCACCCTCGAGCGACAGCCTGTTGGCAGGAGCCTCCACCCCCTTCATCTCTCCGTCCTGCATCCATCCTCTCATCAGCTCTCCCAGTACCCCCCACCCAGCTGTCTAATGTCACATTACTTCCCTCTCATCCACGCCAGCAATTTCCTGTTGCCCTCATAGATTGTGTTACAAATTCCAAAATTGCAAAGGCACACACACACACACACACACACACACACACACACACACACACACACACACACACACGTTTTTATGCCTTTGTGTGGCCCACGTTCTGTGACTTCTTTGTGAGGGCCACCACTTCTACTATAGCTACAATGGTGCAGCACATATCTATCAGGAGGTGACAATAGAGAATCAAAATGTCACTTCAGAATTCAGAAAACTCGAAATAAATTTTTTTTTTCTTCTACACGTGTGAGGACCAGAGCCTCTTGCCAAGCAGATTTGGTGAACTGGACCTTCTGTCACAAAGCACCAAAACAATGCATGTTATATCACCAAATTTTAGTAGATCTTTCATAACTGTCCCATCTTACTTTCCTGGTTAACCCAAACCACAGCATTACAGAGATGGAAGCATGTGGTTTTTAATTTTGCCAATGTAAAGTGTATTTAA